TCAAATTGTGGCCTCCTCTACTGATTTTCTCAAGCCCAGCCGCGCTGGCTTTCACACTCGGTAATATCTGAACCAACAGTAGGTAGAGGAGGGCAGGGAAAATGAAGCAAAACCCAGTCAGCTCTCCTGCTTGTTATAAGGTCTTTAGGGTGAGGAGTGGAAAGTACCAGCTACACGAGGCAGCAGATCATGGAAAGACCTATAGAGTCCCGATTCAAGTTGAAATCAACAAATGTGGGATCTAGTCCTGGCTTTACCACAATACTGGACACAAAGGTTGAACAAGTCATATAACCTCTCTGAGCCATATCTGTAAAATAAAGCTAAAAATACCTTTAACTACTTATTTTACAAGAAGTTACAAGATTTACTTGATATTTGTGAAAATGCTTTGGAAATGGTTAAATGCTATTTAAAAAAAAAATCATTTCATATGGTTGTGCAATTTCTGCCCTCCCAAAGCAAAGTGCCAGTGGGTGCTTCTTTTTATCACTGGAGCCAAAACAAGCACAAAAAATTACCCACTTCTTCACAATTCTGAGCCGAGAAAAACCTCGCTTAACGCTATTTTGAGAATGCTTCCTCAGAGTTACCTCAGGACAAATTTCTACATATTAGATTGAGTCTAGACTTCCTTTAGCTCCCTGAAGCCTGGAGGAGTCTAGTGATGTCTTTGTATGAGAGTATATCTGTGAGGAGAATGGAGAAAAAGATGAAGTGAAAGAGGGCAAGCCACAGAGCTGATGCCAAAACACCTCCAGAGTGAACATGATGGAAAAGTCTCAGGTTTTGGAGTAAGAAAGATGTTAAGTTTTAGTCCTAGTTCTGCCACTTACTTGACTGGGCAAGCCACTCTTTCAGTCAGATTTTCATCTGCTAAGTGACCAATAATACTATCTACTTCAGAGGGATATTCTAATAATTAAAAGAGAGAAGGTATGTAAAGCACCTGGCACTAAAAGATGCTTAATAAATAATAGCAGGATAGTTTAGAAAACAACAACAACTCCCCCCAAACAAAAAACTCAAGACATCTATCTACACCTATTCAAACCTGAATGTTTATCCTTTAATAGCAATGGCTCTTAGCTAGAAAGAACTTTGCCTCTCAGGAGACATTTGACATTATCTGGAGACATTTCTGACCCTCACTACTACCATCCAGTGAGTGGGTAGAGGCCAAGGATATACCTTACAATGCATAGTACAGTCTCCCACAATAAATAATTCTCCAGCCCAAAACAGTAGAAGTGTTAAGACTCTGCAGTAGGCATTCTTAGGTACTCAATCAGAGTAAGCCACGTCACCTCTCTTAATTTCCTCACCAGCAATATGAGAATAATTGATCTGTGTGTCCTACATCACCAAGCTATTGGCAGGATCAAATGAAATAATGAGTAAGCAGCATTATCATCATTATGCCATTCACAGGGTATGCAAAAGCACCCACTTGCTCGGCAAAGGCAGAAGCATTGATATATTGGGGGTGGAGGGGTGGCACTAATTGGGTGGAATTCTTTGTTTGGGAATGCCCCCATCCAAAGAGGACCTCTGCCAATCTACTTCTATAAAGCTTCACTGGAGCAGGGGACTCTCATGCACAATGACTGGATAGGAGCACTTCTTAGGGAGAGAGAGAGCATGGGAAGTGGGTAGGAACAGCACAGGCCTATCAAAGAGGAGCTAAGAGATGTTATGAAGTGAGGCATCTTGCTGTGTCCTCAAAAAAGTAGCCACCTCTCTCTCTCTCTCTCTCTCTCTCTCTCTCTCTCTCTCTCTCTCTCTCTCTCTCTCTCTCTCTCTCTTCCTCCCTCCCTCTCTCCCTCCCTCCCTTTTCTTAAAAGGCCACCAATCCTATTGAAAGAGGGCTATCCTCTTTAGACCTCATGTAACCTTAATTATCTCCTTAAAGGCCCGATCTTCAATAAAGTCAATGGGGGTGTGGGCTTCACCATATGGATTTGGGTAAGAGGGGCACAGTTCTGTCCCCAGAACTCAAGCACACATCAGGCATAACCAAGGCATCACAGAGAGGAGGATCCAGAATTTAATTCAATACTTTTCTATGGTAACAATCACTTTTCCATATACTTTCTCTATGAGCTATCCAGTCAATCCTGCAATCCTTTTGTACAGGTGCCTCTCCAGACATCCTGTGGACTTCCAGGGTTAGGAAAGAGTCCTCCTCTTATTTGTGTCCCAGTCCCATTATTGGTGTTTCCCAAAGTGTGGTACACGTACCCCCAGGGGTACAGGAAGAGTTTGGTGGGGGTACGCGTTGTACCGGAGTTTGGTGGGGATATGCACTGCACCGTGCTTAGCTGCGCCTAATCCTACGTTCTCATGAGTACAAGGGGTACTCAGCGTTACAAAAATTATAAAGGGGTACACATATGTCAAAAGTTTGGGAAACACTGCATTAGGTCATGGATTTCCTACATTGGCTAATCACTTTAGGCTCGGTTCTTAATGATGGGAGTTTTTTCTTTTCCTTTTATTTGAATCCTCAACTGAGGATATGTTTGTATTTATTTATTTATTTATTTATTTATTTATTTATTTATTTATTTTAGAGAGGAAGGGGAAGAAAGAGAGAGAGAAATAATACTATCTACTTCAGTTGCCTCTAGTATGTATCCGAACTGGGGTTTGAACGTGAAACCTAGGTATGTGCCCTGACCAGGAATCAAACCTGAAACTATTTGGTGTACAGGATGGCACTACAACTAACCGAGCCACCGGGCAAGGCAATGATGGGAGTTTTTATAAAGCTCAACCACACCCAGAACAATTCAATCAGAACCTTTGAAGGTAGGGCTAACACACTGATAATTTTTAAATTTCCCCAAGTAATCCCAACAAGCAGAACACTGATCACAGAGGTGTATGTGTGTGTGTGTGTCCCATTCTCCTCCCCTCAGATTCCAATTTTGTTGGTGTAGAGTGGAACCCAGCAATCTGTATTTTTAAACAATTCCCCAGTTGATTTTGGTGATCAGCCAGATTTAGGATAGATTATGATCTTCCAGAAGCTAACTTGACTACCTACCTGCCTTGTAACTGTTCATTTCTGTGGCTATGCATACACTTTACAGAATATATTTTTAAAAAATATATTTTATTGATTTTTTACAGAGAGGAAGAGAGATAAGAGAGTTAGAAACATTGATGAGAGAGAGACATCGATCAGCTGCCTCTTGCACACCCTCTACTGGGGATGTGCCCGCAACCAAGGTACATGCCTTTGACCGGAATCGAACCTGGGACCTTTCAGTCAACAGGCCGACGTTCTATCCACTGAGCCAAACCAGTTTCGGCCACTTTACAGAAGATTTTATTTCCTCCTCTTAGTGGCACATCATTTTGGGGACAGCCCTTCAGATGCACCAAAAGACAGTACTTAAAGGTTTTTTTTTTGTTTTTTTTTAACATGAGGGGGAAGCAGAATAAAGCAAAGGGGGCTAAACAAAGTGTATAGCTTGTCAAGGGAAAAAGCAAAATATCTGGTGAAAGATGAAGGAAGGAATGAAGTGAAGATGGAGATGATGTCACAGGGGAGAAAATGGAGCTGATAGGATTCAACAGCAAATTAATAAAATGCAGAGTAAGTCATCAGGTATAGAAGTTGTAGGTGAAGGGCCTTCCTTTTAGCAAAAAAAGAGGTAATAGGCAACAACATCTTTTGGTGTACCCCTCCTCCCAACCTCACCCATTTTACCCTCACTGTTCATCAATACTTCCCTCAGGAAAGAATGCCATGGAGTCAATCACATCAAGCTACAAGGGTATTTTAATAGGGGACAATGACAATAAACCAAAAGAGAGTTGAAAAAAAGAAAAGCTAAAAATACCTTTAACTACTTAATAAATAATAGCAGGATAGTTTAAAGGCACATTTACTGAAAGGAGTGGGATTGGAGAAAGGATAAGCCTTTCTTAGCTTTTTGGTAACTTATATTACACTGGTCTTTAGTTTGTGTACTTCTCTAACGCTAAAATGAAAATGAGGCATATCCCTGACATCCAGGCATCCCTGGATGAAAACCTCCATGTTGGCAGAAGGGTCCCATCATATACTTGACAAACTGTAGGGAGAGTGTTGTAGCCTATACACTTCACTAGCCATGGATGTTAAGTTTTCCTTACAGAAGCTGAAACTCAAGCCCTAGGTGGTTTGGCTCAGTGGATATAGCATTGGCCTGCAGAATGAAGGCTTATGGGTTCAATTCTGGTCAAGCCACATGCCCAGGTTGTGGGCTTGATCACCAGCAGAGGGTGTGCAAGAGGCAGTTCCATCAATGATTCTCTTTCCCTTCTCTCTTCCTCTGAAATCAATAAAAATATATTAAAAAAAAGAAAAGAATTTGAAACTTAAGATACTTGTATTTTAAGTCAAAGCCCACTCTCATATTTTCTACCTAACTTTGCCTTATTATTTTTTCCCTTAATATCTCTATCTAAAAAGCAGGAAAATCTCAAGAACAACATGATTCAATTTGGCCAGTGGGAACAAAGTAGAAGAAAAGGAAAATGTGGAAAGGCACAGAAAAGATGGTTTAAAAATATATTTTAAAAAGAATTCACTCCAGCTGGGACTGGTTTGGCTCAGTGGAAGGAGCATCGGCCTGCGGACTGAAGGGTCCCGGGTTCGATTCCAGTCAAGGGCATGTACCTTGGTTGCAGGCACATCCCCAGTGGGGGGGGAGAGGTGCAAGAGGCAGCTGGTTGATGTTTCTCTCTCATCGACGTTTCTAACTCTCTGTCCCTCTCAATTCCTCTCTGTGTAAAATCAATAAAATATATTTTTTTTAAAAAGAAAAAAAAAAGAAAACACAGTTCTTAAAAAAAAAAAAAAGTATTCCCTCCATAGAAAGTCAAGCTAACTATGTTTTGAGTTGGTTACTATTTTGATAACACAGAAATGAACTAGTTGCAGAAGAACAGACATTTTATTGAAAAGAATCGTCTCTAAATTTTAGTGAAAACAGAACAGTATTTACCTTGTCATTTAGAAGTGGTTTGATCTCTGTGAGTTGAACATCCTGAAGTTCATCCATGAGGAAGATGAAAGTAGAGGATTCTCAAAAATAAATCAGTAACTCTGAAACAGAAGAGAAGGAAGTGAAGAAAAAGGCTTAAACTAGGAGTTGGGCCCTGGTCAGGTAGTTCAATTGGTTAGTTGCAGGTTCTATCTCTGGTCAGGGCAAATACTAGTTAACCAATGAAAGCATAAATAAATGGAACAACAAATCTCTTGTGTGTTTTTTTCTTTCTTTTCCTTTCTCTCAATGAAAAATATTTAAACCAGGAGTTGAAATATAATAGTCCCATTACTTCCATTCATTCAAATACTAGAGGTTAGCATGTGTAATGCACTGCTCAGAGTGCTGGGACACAGGAAACTAGATAGTATGGCAAACAGACTCAAAGTGGCGTCTATGATTTCTGCCTCCTGATTTTCACATTCTAGCATAACCACTCTCTCCCCTGAGGGTGGGCAAGACTTTTATCATTTAGGTCCTTCCAAGGACCCAGAGAATGCCAAACATGAACACTCTTCAAACTATGGACCCACATGCCAATCATAAGCATCCCAAACATTTGTGCCACTTATGTTTTATAATAATTTAACTTTCCTTTGTAGAACATGATTCTTTTTCTCAGATCCCAGGCAATCTATAAAGTTGATTAAGCTACTGAATGCTCAAAAGCTGAAATTTTTAGTTTGTTTTTAAACTGATTTTTTAAAAAGTGTTTTTATTGATTTCAGAGAGGGAGAGGGAGATAGAAACATTGGCTGCCTCCTGCACGCCCCCTACTGGGGATTAAGCCCATAACCTGGGCATATGTCACAACTGGGAATAGAACCGGTGACCTTCTGGCGCTTGAGACAGTGCTCTACCAAATGAGCCACATTAGTTTGTTTTCTACATTTCAAAAGAGATGGCATGGCTTGAATATTTTATCACAAATTTCAGCCAGCATCTATAATTCTCTTTTGCAGTGATGCTTTGATCCAGTTAACTCTAAAAATATTGGCCTACCTGCTATCTACTTGTATGTTTATTAATCACACTATAAACTGTGGCTATTTTTCAATTGAACTTCACTGGTTACCAATAATTTAAAATGACGATTTTACGCCCTAGCTGGTTTGGCTCAATGGATAGAGCGTCAGCCTGCAGAATGAAGGGTCCCAAGTTTCATTCTGGCCAAGAGCACATGCCCGAGTTGTGGGCTCCATCCCCAGTAGGGGGCGTGCAGGAGACAGCTGATTGGTGGTTCTCTCTCATCATTGATGTTTCTATCTCTCTATCCCTCTCCCTTCTTCTCTGAAATCAATAAAGAAATGTATTTTTAAATGGTGATTTTAAAGTTCTTTTTCCTATTATAAAAGCAATACTATATATGCTTACTTTAGACAATGTGAAAACCACAGAATAATGAAAAGATATTTTACTTTGTCCTTCACAACTACTAAGATTTCATCTATTTCCATTTGTTCTTTTTTCCCATGTAAAATGGTGATTTTTCTGAAAATGTTTTTCCAACCCACCTGCTTTATTCCCTTCTTTAACTCACTCACTTGCAAGCAGGATACTTCAAAATGTTAATAATTCAAAGGTGACTTTATATAAGGCCTTCCCAAGAGCCTTGGGGACAGAGGGAAAGCCTGAGCTGCCCTCAAGTCCAAAGTGAATGGCATTCACTGTGTTCCCATCCAATTTATAAAGATTAAAAAAAAAAAAGTGATGATGTGATGTTTGGGCCAGGACAAACATTTGAATAAAGGCACAAATTAAATAAGAAGGCTATTCTTATCAGCTGGGTCCAGTGCAGACTTAATGCAGGACAGGAAGCTGCTATAGTGTGACTTAGGAATTGGCAATAAGATAATAGATGTTCACCTTCCACATTAAAGGGGACCTAATGCATTCTTCTAGAGACTCAATTTTTGCTTAGTTCTCCTTGTTCTGAGCCCTTGCCAATGAACAGTTTTTTAACACCTGTGAGAAAACTAAGACCACATGGTGGAAAATTCCATCTCCAGATTTCCCAGCTACACAGACTGGCTTCCTCCTGGGGACTCTAAAAGCCTGAGGTTCCCTTTGCACAAATGATATGACTGCCAGATCCTGGTACTAGGGGATATTTTTAAAAAGTTAGTAGGGATTTTATAAACTGCAGTAAATAACAAAATGTTAACCCTCTTTCCCAGCTTTATGAGGTAAAGGGAAGACTGAAAAGTAAAAACCAGCCATCTTTGAACTGAGGAAGTAAGCCTGATACCAAATACCCTGTTTCCCCGAAAATAAGACAGTGTCTTATATTAATTTTTGCTCCCAAAGATGCGCTAGGTCTTATTTTCAGGGATGTCTTATTTTTCCATGAAGAAGAATATGGTAGACATTTATTGTTGAATGAAAATAAAGAAAATTTATTACCTGTATACGGTACAATAGTATGGTAGTTGTCAAAACAAACAAGACAAACTATGAATCCTACAGTATCAAAAATTTACTCATTTATATTCAATGACAATTATGTCATCATCTTCTGGAACAACATCATAACAATCCAATTCCTGAATTTCCTAGTGAATTTCTTGTGACTCCATTTCTTTCAGAATCAGTGGACCAAATCTCTCATGTTTAGCCTAGGGGGGCCTTATTTTTGGGGGGATGCCTTATATTTCACTCAGAAGGAAACCTGTAAGTAGGTCTTATTTTCAGAGGATGTCTTATTTTCGGGGAAACACGGTAGCTAGTGGGGGGGGGGGGGAGGGAAGGTGTGTGTGTGTGTGTATAAATCCTATACTGTGCCAAGAACTATAACCTAAGCATCTTACGTTTAATCTTCATAACAGTCTTCTTGGGTAGATATCTTCAGTTGAGAAACTTAGGCTTAGAGAGAAGTTAAGAGACTTTTCCAATATCCTACATCTAAGTAAGTAACAAGGCAAGGATTTAAAAGCCTTTGCTTTTACCACTATACCATAATGTCAACACCAGGCTCTATCTACTGGCTATAGAACCCTAGTTTCTTCCCCTCTAGTCACAGGGGCACCACCTCCTTAAAGTAGAAATAATAGAAGCCCAGAGCAATTCTGTAACTCAGATGCCTTAGAATGAAGGTTTGGGTCATCACACCAGCAAAAAAGCCCTCAATATCTCAGTAGTTAGCTGAGGATTAGGAGAACGAGTAGGGAAAGAGAGACAAAATTCCAACTATTACTTGGTAACCAGTTTTAGAAACAATTGTTATGTCTTGCTTGTTGTTAGGACAGTGAGCCTCAAACAGATAATCACCTGGATATCTTGTTCAGGATCTTAGGCATAATCAGCTTTGAGTAACGACAGTCCAATAAGTGACCCCATCATATGAGGAGTGAAGATCATTTGAGTTGAAGAGATGAAGAACATAAAAGCTAGATTATTAGCACCAATCAATCCCTCACAGAGATGAGGAGAATGGGACAAAGAAAGACTATTAATTTAATTTTATCCTGCCTTCTTCTAAAAAAGATTTCAGATGGGAATCAAAAAGATTCAACAACCCCCCTCCACACCAAAAAAGAAAAGATTCAACAGACCAGATTAATTAAAAGGGAAATGTACCAGAGAAAGATAGAGTTTAGTAGTTTAGTGCAGAAATCTAGTTGATGGGGAGTGGAGGAAGTCAATGGGGGAGAAAATACTTTCAACAATAAAGATAAGTTGAAACAAAAGAAAGAATCCAGCTGGCAGGTGAAAAGAGCCTGACCCTGCTATTAAAATCACAGATGTAAAGAAGAAAATCAGGGGTATAAAACTGATAAAAACATTGTGAGGTCAGAGAAGTCAGATTTTGCCAAGATTTTGTAGGGATTCAGAACAAACCACCCCAAGATGTGCCTAAGTAGCACATGGATTATTTCAAGCTCCCCTGCCCCCAACTATCTATGAGTCTGGCCCACATTAAGAGTTATCTCACACACACACACACACACACACACACACACACACACACACACAGAAGCCCAAGCAGTGTGGCTCAGTGGTTGAGCATCAATGAATGAACCAAGAGGTCACCAGTTCGATTCCTGGTCGGGGCACATGTCAAGGTTGGGGCACAGAGTGGAGTGAGATTTAGTGAGGAAAATCTGTGTAGGTGCTAATGGAGAGCAGAACTTGCCACCCCAAAATATGCCTCTTTGGGATATTGATTATTTCAGGCTGATTAATTTTAAGAAACAGCAGACAAGGGAAAAGCTCTAAAAACCAAGTAGGAGAGTGTAAAAGGACATTTACATCTGTAGAAGGGTACTTCCATCTGTAGAAGTGTTTTCCTCACTATACCATGCCTGCGTTTACTAACAATGATGAAGACATGGACTTAATTATACAATAATCTTATTCTTATTTATTGTGCTTTGCCGGGTAATTTCCCAGAAGTGATTCTCCACCCCCAATAACTGTTGTCTTTAGCTGAAGGTGGTATTTAAGGTGATGGCTAGACATTTTGGAGAGTTACTCATTAGTTTTCCTGAGTCTCTCCCATGTATACAGGAGGGGTTCATTTTATTAAACTTTGTTTTTCTCCCGTTAATCTGTCTTGTGTCAATTTGATTATTAGGCCAGCCAGAAAGGTAGAAGGAAAATTAGTTTTCCTCCCCCTCAGCACTCACCAAACCAGAGACATGGAAGAGCTGTAGGCCTTGGGTTCTTCTGGAAGACAACTCAGTGATAGAAAAGAAAGCAGAACCAATAAGAACAAAGAAAAAATGCTCAAAAGATGCAAGAGGTAATGCCGAAATACAAAGTCAGAGAAGTGAAGGGAGAAGAGAAGTTTACACGAAAGGGGAGAAAATTGTCAAATACTGGAGGAAAGGAGGAGGGGAGGAAAACTAAGGAAATATTATCTTTGACAGTGGAAGTCAATAGTATTAAAAATCTAGAAAAAATGAGGTTTAGTTCTCCATGCTTAAAAAAAAAAAAAAAGCCCATGACTATTACCTTTTAGAAATATAGAAACTGACATTTTTGAATTTAAATGTAAGCAAAAATGTTCCGGAGTGGCACCAGTGTTCTTTGATACTTAGTACTTGAGAGAACCTTTAAA